TTTTCACAATAGACATTTATACACCATTCGATAGAGAATTTCAAGGGCTACATTTTACACTATTTATATTTGATATACGAATTATTTGAATTTTCGGCCTAATGTCCGCTTGGATGCCCACTGTGCTGCGTGCCATCTTGGAGGCCAAACTTCACTAAAATTTTAATTGTGATGTCTATCAAAAAATAAAACATTTTCATATGCAATATCTTATGTCATGTTAATACTTTTGCTTTAATTTGATTGCCAACGAAGTGAAAGTTGCCATGAGAATTAGAATTAAAAACATGGGTCTGGGAGATTTGAATTTGCATATAGGGGCCTTTATATTCAAATTTTCATCGCATCGTTTATATAAATTGAACGTTTGGAAAAATTAATTGCAAAATTACCAAAAATCACGAAACGCAAGTGTTCCTAAATAGCATATTTATACAAAAAGAACGCTTTTTGTGCCGTTTCATGCGATCGAGACAATTAGGTTAAGTAGGATCTCGCTCCTTACGTGTAGATTTGGTTATGTCATTTTCAACGCCTTGTTTTTCAACGACCATTCTCGAGAATTTCTATCATAATTTTACCATCGATTAATTAACCATATCACTCACCTCGGCGTGGAGAATAATTTAGGAAGGATCTCGCCATTTTTTCCGTACATCTGGCTAGGTCGAGAGGTTTCAGCCTCCTTCTAAGGCATGAAACTGGCTATTTCTCCCTAAACTTAGAATTACTAATGTTTTCTTTTGTCTATGTATTTTGGAAAATGTCCATTTACAACCACATTCTGCTCCACAATCTTTTCATAATCGTTCATTGAATCGACCGTCTCATTTGAACCTTACTTCGAAACAAGCAAAAATTGGCGTCGAACAACAACGAGACCAACGTTAAACAAAGAATTAAAAGACCCACTACTGCAAATTATACTGTCAAACTTTCAAATTATTTTTGTACATCAGGCAACATGTTCAGATCAATTGGAATTTTCACTAGAAGCAACTGCAAATGCATCATGTCTTTTAATCGATCAAGAATCAACGTTACAATTCAATCCTGTGGCATATCAAAATGATACCATTCCATCATTAATACAAGTCCAAATAGTACATCAAGAACGAACTTTGGCAAGTACACTATTTGAATGCTGTTACCTTCTATAGGCAAGTTCGTCTCAATTCCAAACAATTAAACAAATTTGGAGACAAGTTCTAATAGGCAAGCTCTAATAGTTTTAAACAAAAACTATTAGAGCTTCGGGCGATTCATTCGAAGAATTATCATCGTATGTGGTATATCAAATGTTCACGCAATCTCATCTTCATCGGGCGAAAAAAGAAAGAGAAGAGAGTGATATTCAATCGCGATTTACGACGTGGATCGAAGGTTGGGCCTCGGAATATAGATGGCGATAATCGACATGATAAAATAATTCTGCATGCACCATCATTAGAATTAGAAGAAAACGTAAGTCTTCAAAAAGCTCTCTCTAATACCCATCAATTATTTTTAGACAAAAAGCAAATGGTCAGCCGGTTTCGACAGACGCTTAGTCACTTACATCGATTCAATACTATTGGGCGTCGACTTAGACTGCAACACCGCAGCACAATTGTCTAGACGCCGAAAGATGGTTGAATATAGCATATACGACTGTATTGCAGTAATGCTCATTTCGTTGCATATCGCTTCTACTCGTAAACAATTACCAACATCAGTCGACACTGAACTCGATTTGGCACCGTTTTCACCAGCTACTGTTGATTCCAGAGTCTTCACGATTTTCCAATCCAATCCATCACCATCAATCATCATCTAGTCGAGAACTGTCCCGTTAGCAACCTCACCGTTTCACCATCCACCACCTTCAAATCCGTCTACATCGTCTCATCACTCACACTTTTCTGATCCATCTTCATCACTTCGGAAACTCAATCTTCTACTGCTCCTCCTCATCAAAATCTATCAAAATATTACCGTAATAGCTATTCGAAGACGAAAACGTCGTTACTTCTACTCCATTAACCTTTTCAGGCATCCCATGTTCACCATGCCCGCAATCAAACGTCATCTCAACTGTCTACAAATTAAATTTACACATATTAAACCAAAATTGAAAATGGCAAAATAACAATTTTGTGTAAAAAATCCTGGAGTTTTTCCTCGTCTTGCTCTATCCTGCGTCAGTTTTTGATGGCTTACAGAATGACGGATTCGAAACAGTTTTGTTTCCTTTTGATGCCGACCTCTCTAGAGATCAGATTTCTAGAAAATTCGCTGACAACACGAACGAAGTCAAGCTCTGAAATCATCATCATCATCAATAACTCTCTGAAAACGTACGTTGGATTTCAGGCTGAAAATGATTTTTAGTCAGTAGGACCTTCCCTCGTAAGATTTATACCTTCGAAAGTACAAGTATACCTTATAATGTTTCGAAAATAACTATTGTAAAAAAATATTCTATAGTTAAAAGGACAGGAACGATAACACCGCAAATCGACCCTCTTTCAAATCAGTCTTAAGTTATCTCATCTGAGGAAAGAATCGTGGAAGAAACGAAAAAACTCTAATGTATCTGTAGTATTACAGTGAGTGCCGTCGGCTGAAAATGATTCAAACTGAAATTAAATTTTCACAACAATGTTAAATTTAAAGAGAAATACGAAAAAATATCCCATGAGTTTTGTTACGACATTTCTGAGACAGTATAAAACAACCTTGTTATATACTATCGGACTCGCCTAACTATCAGCTATTTTAACAAGTTGTTGAAAATATAAAAGAAAAGTGTTTTTGAAACAGATTTTTCAAAAACATAGCACTCTATATTATTCAGCTGTTACATTCACACACGAATAAAAGATGACTTAGTAAGGAAGTGTTAGGAAGCGTAGAAAATCTCATTCCCTGACGTAATGTTCTCGTTCTCTGAGGTAAATATCTTTGTTAATAAAATATGAAAACATAATTCATTTTTGGCACTGACACAAAGACGGATACAAGTTACGTATAAAACGCTACGTAACAGGAGGTATTGTGATGATTAAACAATGCATTCACCATTAGAAAACTGAGTACTATGTCCACCGTCGACAGAATAACTAGAAAATCGAGTTTGATGCAAAACATTAGGTAAATATGCCGACGCCGTAAATTTTATCATTTGATTTTCACTTTCCTCTGATGCCATCGCAATATATGTAATTTTTGCCTTATTCTCACTACTCACAGCAACGCTCCTATTGGCGGCATTAGCCCCAAGTTTACACACCTAGTAACACACTTTAGTTTATCTTTTACACTGTGGTTTGGTCAAAAGTTGACAATCTTAGCGAGCGCTTGTCGTGATCAAAGATGAATAATTTTAGCTACCAATTAAAGCTGCAATCAAAGATCAAAAGTTCAAAAGTGAGAATGCAAAAACTGAAATCAGTATTTGTCCGAACAATCGACAAAACTAATATGGTCCTGCAGATGAGAAAAATAATTTACAATACGACGCAGTTATTATAAATGTCTACTTTAATTGGGCTTTCACTCTTCGAATGTGGTTCTCAGTGGTTACAAGTGGTGGATGCGTTGTCGGAAGTGATCTGTGTGTTGTTGCTGCTGCTCTGTTAAGCTAAATCTGATTCACCTTTATTCCACTATACATTACCCATATTGTTATATGTTGAGGCGATATCAGGGTGATCGCGTGGAGGAATTTTTAAGCAGATTTTCAATGCTTTGTCCAACTCTCTCTTCTTTTTCAACAGTGTTCCAAGTAAAATGAGACCAATTTCACATCTGTTTCTTCATATAGTCAAATACTTGTTTCAAATCATGGTCATCTTCGTTGCATAACTCTAATTTAGTCATCCAAATATGGTGTTCTTAGTGATACTGAACACTTTCAAGTCGAAAGACCGAACCGACCATATATCAGCGGAAATGTCCTGAATAAAGTGACCTGTGTACCAAAACACATTTTGTGACTCAGGCAGAATTAATTTCGCAAAGAATTAAAGGTACCATGCCTGGTTTCGACCTTTCTCAAGGGTCTCATTTTTCAATTTTCTGACTAAAATTTTAACTCATCGACGACGGCGAAACATTTAAAAAGATTTGTTCGCCTTAGACGACGACGATGTGATGTTTTTTGAATTTTTTCGCCGGTGGCGCGGCAGATTGGCCAACGTATCTAGATAGGGCAAAAGAAATTGGTAATTATATTATTGTACAGAAAAGAAAGAATTTGAACGTAAAAGTAAGAATCTTCTAGGAATCATTAGCATTCTACCCAAATCCTGTCAGGATCCTAGATACGAAGATTTTACATTTATTAAGATATTAAAATCTTGATAAAAACTCAGATCAGATCTTATAACAAATTTTAACTATAGGATATTCTTTTTACACTATTTATTTTCGAAACATTATAAGATCATACTTTTAATTTCGAAGGTATAGATTTTACTTGCGAAGATTAAAAAACATTTTCAGACTGAAATCCAACTTACGTTTTCAGAGAGTTATTGATGATGATGCTGATTTAGGATCTCGACTTCGTTCGTGTTGTCAGCGAATTTTCTGAGAATTTTCTAGAAATCTGGTCTCTAGAGATGTTGGCATTAGAAGAAACAAAAATGTTTCGAATCCGTCATTCTGTAAGTCATCAAAAACTGACGCAGGATAGAGCAGGACGAGGAAAAACGCCAGCATTTTTTACACAAAATTGTTTTCGCCGAATCATACTTATTTTAGGAAACAGTTTTGAAAAACCGACTGACTAAGTAAATTGTTTTAGAAAAGTACTATATCTCTTCATTAGATGCTTCTGACTACCTTTACCTTAGTGTAATCTGTGGATACGTCTATCACGCTTTCAAGTGTCTCTCTTCTACTAGTTAAATAAAACAGCTGCTTCTCTTCTTCCACAATGAATTATAAATGTCGAAATAAATAATAAAGTAGAACAACACCTGCATGACGAAATGTATCACTAGTTCTCAGTCGTCAGAGTATTTTATTTCGGTTTAGTTAGTTTCTTCCTTACTCATTCTTTACACCCAACCGGATGCTATGAAAAGTTTAGATTACTACGCTCTGAAACTGATAAACAGAATAACTGTTTGAGAGAAAAAATAATGCCCTTAACTATTCTTAATACATGATAAAAAATCATTGTTTGTTCTGCAAGACAGGACAGAAAAAAGTGTCCTGCTGCAATCGCTGTCTCGGTAGCATTTAACACCAAAATTGATATTTGAAGAATATCAGTTCCTTTTATTCTGAGTAAGCATAGTTGTTGTATGCACACAATCGTTTAAAGAGATGTCAACATGATGCTAAAAAAATTTTCTCTCTGAGGTAGTGTAAAACTTTTGAAAATATTTTGTGCGAATAATAAATAAAATAACAACAGCTTTTCAATTATTCGGGATGGGGGTGGAATTTGCGGACTCTCCCACAGCCTTTCGTTATTGGCAGCCGTGTCGAGGACTGCGCGCCTAATAAGAGCCAGTTCAAGTTTCCAAGGCTTGAGCTTTCCTGTAATCAAAAAGCGACAACAAAAAGTGTCAAAACAAAAATTTAGTGAGGTAGTTAATAATTATCCTTAACAATGCTGAGTGGTTGTCTAATTTTTATTACAAACTAGAACTGGTAATGGTTAAGGACAAAATGTTCATCATCAGACGTTGCACGATTTAGTTTAATTTACTTTAAGATTTTCAAGAAAAAGTCACGATGTTAATATTCCAAACGCTGAATTATCCAATGTGAAAGTGTGCAATTCTAGAAGTTCTCACGAGCCCATTGTTATCAGATTTTTGTGCTTGTTTTCAACGAAATATTGAAAAAAATGGAATATTTGTTTTCTAGTTAAAACAAGATTATTTTCGTAAAAGCCTTCATCTTCACTGGATTGTAGTTTCGTGGTCGTTCCTTCAAAGTGACTAAAAATTAGAGGCCATTGTTACTCACTAAAATGCCGTAATCGATTTCAACAAACTTACACTGTCATTTGAGGTTAAGAACTGATTCACTGATTGGCCATTGCCTAGGAATATTTCTACTGCATAACAGTTATTTATCATGGGCGAACGGTGAACAATATTAACATGTTGATCGAGTATAAGTTTCTTCAATTTTTGTGTAAAATGATAATTTCTTTGCTAAATTGAAGAAAAACAACTGTAGATATTCGTGGCAAAAACTAGTTTCTTCTTTTCGTAGTAGCAAAAACACATCTTGCTAAAAACGCCGCACTATTTTGAAGGATTAATGCAGGTCAGTTTGCGTTAAGAGGAAACCGCAAGACAAACTATAGATTGTCTTGTAACCTATTGTGAGAAAACCTTGCATTAAATGGAAAATTAGTAGAGTATACACTATAAAAAAAAGACGACTTATATTCTATCTGTTTTCATTGAAAAACGTCTTATTTTTAAGCCATAATTTGTTTATGAAGACATTTCTAAGGCATTTTTTTAGAAAAAAAATCGAATTCAAAACGCTCGCTCATAAAGCTCATTATTTTATCGTAGAGGTAGAAAAAGTTTAAGGTTCAAAAACCTGAAACATTTTGGTTCCCTACTGGATTAGAAAGTAAACTTTTTCTATCTCTGCGAAAAGTTGTTCGTTAATTCTGAATATTTTTCCACATAGGTAATTCAACGTGTTCTACAATCTAGCACTGTCAAAATATGTTCAGCTGGAACTTCATAGTGGACCTTTGGACAGCCGGATTCCAGAGACCCATGGCAAAAAGGCCTAGCAGCAGAAACGGATATTCGATTCGTGATCAGCATCAAAGATTATCCACAATCGTGTATGTTTTAAGGAAAACTCGATTGGACACTTCGGAAGGCCTTGTTAGCTCATCATATATGTTTGATATAAGTTTGTTTATCGATAAAATCGGATTGAAAGGAAAAATATAAATATGAATAATATGAATTGTACAGCTGTTCATACACATCTTTTATGAAATGCTGGTCTTTTAAAAAAAGGTCATTCTAGCAGAAAATATTCACATATTCAAAGAAACGTATATTTGCTATTAATTAGCTTAGTTGTAGATTGTTCTATAGAATATAAATAAATCATAAGTCTTTTGAAGATACGTGACGTTAGTATTATCGTGTATTTTAGATTGAGATGACATTATATAAGCCCAATCGCAAAAAAAAAATGGAAATAAGGCATTCGAAAAGTACCTTAAAGTGAGACATTTGCAGTGTCGTTTTTCCCTCCAGCTTCGACGTCGTAAATTAAGTCACTTCTTTTTACAGTGTACTTAATACAGAAAAGAACATACCGATTCATCATAATCATATAAACGGAAGGGTTGTGCAAATCGAGGCACTTCACAGTGATGTGACTGGATAGCCAATAATTCGGACGTATCAACAATGACTTCTTCGCCACCATCGATACATTTAACAGCTACTTTTGTCTCATCTTCACGATGCCTAGTAATAATCATTTTATTCTTTCATTAAACAACGTATTTTTAATCACTCACTTAATTATAGCACGTTCGAAACGATTTCTATGTTGAATAACACATGGTGTATCTTCCAAATACGATGACAAGCTCATATTTTGATGATGATAACACTGTTGCAGTTGAGCTCTTAGTTCGTCTCGTTCTTGTAATCGACGTACGTGGCACGCATAGAATTCAATTGGACTGAAAACATGGGTTACCATGTAAGGTCCGTTTTCTAAACGTAGAGCAAAAACTATTCACAAACAAACCAAAGTGAAGTCTAAGAAATACAGAATCAACATTGTACCTTTTACTAATGATCGTGCCACCAATCGACCATTAGTGCCGAAAGAAAGATTCTTCGAGATTTCTACTATAACCCAGGAGAAAAAAGATGGGCAATAAACTGCTCATTATCTGCCAGTTTAGAGCCTGCCTAAAAACTGCCACTTGACAACCTGTTAACTGTCTAAAAACTACCTAAAAACTGTCTAGTTTATTGGTCGTTTTTAGGTCTGCAAAAATACCGTCTAATAACTGCCAGTAAACGAAAAACCCAAATAACACATAGTTAACTGTCCCATTTACAGACACTTAACTGACTGTTTTTTGGTCTTACCGTTTACTGACCGTTTTTACACAGTAGTTTCTTAAGACCTAAAAACGGCCAATAAATCAGCCAGTTTTTAGATGGTTTTTAGACAATTTTTTTAACAGATTGTAAACTGACAGATCATAGACCATTTCTTTTCTGTGGTAGTGAGTGACTATGGGCTCGCTATATTTTTGTTTTTGAAAGAAAAAGCCAGTTAACTGGCTGTAAATAAGCTGTAAGTAGGTGGTTAAACGAAGCAGCTGAATTTTGACTTAAGAATGCAAAAATATGATATTCGTCTAGCGCACAATTCTGTGCTTATTTGGGGTGAAAGTAGGGTAGGCTTTTTAATGCTTTTCCGTCGAAAAAGTCAATTTTTTTAAACATACCTTCAACATTTTTTTTAAATCACACTCATCTCAGATAATCTCTAGAAGCGAACGATCGTTTTTGCCGGGCCTCGATACGCACCGATGCGAGTTTTTAACATTCTTTCTGGGGTCGGTGCGTTGTATTTTACAGTACTAAAAGGATTTTTTCTCAGAATAAAATCCACATTTGGTATTTTCAGGCATATTATATGTTTGAAAAGATTAAGTAGAATTATTTCTTTTTCGTTCGTATTTTACTAAACCGTTTTGATTTAGTATCAGCGATTTAAAAGGAACATCGTGTTTAGGGATCATCTTTGCAGGATGTCCGAGAAAGAAAAAGAAAAGCCAAATTTCTAATCGAGCTTTTTGACAGTGCTTTCTGTTGTTGTTTAACTTGAGTCATTGTTATTATAGGTCTGGGACCTTTGATGTGACTCTCACTTTTCCTGAATAAATTAGTCTTAGTCTTAGTCTTCTCTCACAAGGCTTACTATTTGAAATGTAGCTAAAGAGAATAAAACCAAGGAATCATTCCACTAACCTCTTACATTAGAGCTTGACAAAAGTAAGCTCGTTAAAGACAAGGTTTTTACGTGATCTAAACAAGAAAAAAATGCTGAACTAGTAACTACACTCTAAAAAAAAGGCGTAGTTTAAAAAACTTTTAAGGGTTTAGGAAAATGAAACCATACAGAACGAATAAGGGTTTAGGAGTTTACATAAAAATGCGTTTCGGAGAGGGTTTAGGAACTCTCCAAAACCCTTATTCGTTCTGAATAGTTTCAATTTCCTAAACCCTTCAGGAGAAAGTTTACTAATTTTGCTCGTTCGTACAGGTTCCGAATGGCTCCAAATATAAAGACAATTTATACGATTTAACTGTTTATTGAAAAAGATAAAAATGACAGCTTTTCTAGTCTGAATAAATAAAAGAGAACTGAACTTCGAGCGAAAAAATTAGGACATGATCCATAACATTTAACTCGTTGGTTATTAGAGTTTTTATTCTTATCAATTTTAAGAAACTACTTGAATCTTGTAAGTTGTTTTGATATTAGTAGTTCTAGCAAAGCTGTAGAAACGGGTAAAGTTACTAAACATTCTCCTATGAAACTATGCTAAACCAGAAACAGTTCAGGAGGGTTACTAAGCCATACCTAAATTTATAATAGGTAATGATGCTTGCAAGTGGAAATGTATGTTGAAATGTTTCGTATGTTATGTCTTTAGTTTTCTTCAATTTTAAAAGTCTTCTATAAGATTTTGAAAAAGTTCGAGATATTTGAGCAAGCTCCAGAGATCGATCGAACTCAGCTAAATACACTCTCGTATGTTTTGTTAATTCATCTAGTTCTATACTTACTGTCTTACTGAATACTGTCTTTTTTTAAACAACAAAACCAAATAACGTAAAATAATCACAGAAAAAAAACTGCGCAGACACACAAACAAGTTGGACAGGAAAAAATATAATATAATCTTTTTTTAAAACAAACGAGCTTATTAATGTTTATTAATTTAAAAACGGGTAATATTAATGGATACCATTCAAGTTCACTGTAAACTTTACGTTTATATCTGCTTTTTAACTTTTGTAAATTAGAAGTAAAGCAAAAATATAACTAATTTACGTAGTAAGTACACGGCAGTTGCAGTGAGTAAGAGAATGAATACATAAATCCTTTTTATTTTACTGTTGCACAGTTGAAATTTTCCTTCAGACGTTTTGGGTATATCAGAAACGAGTCTTCTTTCGCAGAAAATGTACTATATTTAAGGACTTCTGTATTTTTTTCTCAATCGATGTTTACTGTGCAAAGGTCTCGAAATAAAAATGCACAGAAGTGAGAAATGCTGATGGTTGATGTTTTTTACAACAATTGTGAGTATCCTCGGTGTAAGATCGCTTTGCTGTTAGTGACTCTCAGGATGTAGCAAAGATCAGTTCGGTTCCGTTTGACGCACAGAGGATTGAGGCTAAGCCATTCCGCCTCATTCGCAGGATATTAGATTGGCTCTAATAACGAATTGATCCTAGCGATAATATCTACGGGTATACATTCTCTGAAAGTTCAAGCGTGAATGTGTTCTTCACTTACGGCAAGCGTTACTTTATTGGTAATATTCACAGGCGAACCTCAACCGTTCTTACTTTTCTTTGAAGGTCAAACGCCAGTTATATGTCAAACCCTAATTGAGAAGTACACGGTAGAACTTAGAGAAGTCTGAGATTGAAGCTGTTTTAAAAATAACAATCAAAATGTTTGTCAAAGTTCATAAAACTGTTAGCATAGTTTCTATGACAATCAGAGAGCATGTTTACAAATAAAATTGCTGTGTACTTATGTTAAACTCAATCTCGAAGCAAGTCTGACATGAATGCTTTACATTGGTTACATTATGTTCCCGAACGGAAAGTCGGGAAAAAATATGATGAAATCAATATGTCAATTACCTTAACAAACACTTTATCTTAAGAGACCTTCGCGTATCAAAAGTAAAAAAAACAAACATAG